CGGCGCTTCGTAATGTTAGTAATGATTCTGTTATGACGAATGCGAGTCATCTTGCTCGCGGTACTAACAAACATGACACAACATGTTGTTAACACGAAGCAGATTAATTCCAGAGGTGGAGAAGCAGGATACTTATACTAGTGCTAGTACTATTAAGGGGGAGCATAAGAAGGAGGAGGAGGAGGAGCAGGAGGAGGGGGAAGAAGAGGTGCCCATACCGCTACCCTTGCTTCGTTTCCGCCTTTGCGGGGCTCCTGGGAGGCCTTCGTCGCCACCGCTGGATTCGCTCAGAAATTCTGGTCAGAACGCACCCCAGGAAAGCATTCCCCCCCTCCCCTGGGACGATAGCGGGCGTTACCACGGGGGAGGGGGTTGCGGGGCCAGTAACGTCACGTTTCACACCAGTGCCGTCTGGGAATGTTTTAGGAACGACCAAGGACAATCTGGACGTCAGCACGAACCCTGGCGTTACTTGGGGGGGCGGTGAAGGGCGGCCGTGGCAGGTAAACGGCCGTTGCCGGGGAGAAACGGAAAAATATGTCTAGGCTTCCCAGATGGGGTCCGATCATATTGGGTCGGAGGATCGCGCCGTATCGGCGATGCGGCTCGATGTGGAGCCCGACTTTCTCCACGCCGACGTCGTCGAATGTACATCGCCGACGTCGCCAGTGCATCGCCGATGCATCGGTGATGCATCGGCGATGCGCCGCGACCCTTCGACCCCATCTGCTCCGACTCCATCTGGGAGGCCTCTAGCGTGGGCGTCGTCGCCGGCGTCGCCGACCTCCAAGGAGTTGAACAGACCAGGACGGATGCTTCTCGGCTTCTCGCAGTTTGCGGCCTCGGGGGCCCTCGCCGGGCCCCGGTGCCGTCAACGAACACGACTGGGGGAGAGGCTATGATCCCAGAGACGGGGTCGAGACCTTTCAGAGCCCCACATCATCAGGGGTAACTCGGGTCAGGGATAACTCGGGTTCGTTTTTCGGGAATCCGAGCCCGAGTTACCCCGGGCCCGAGTTACCCCGGATAACTCGGTCAGGGGTAACTCGGGTCAGAGATAACTCGGGTTCGTTTTTCGGGAATCCAAACCCGAGTTACCCCGGACCCGAGTTACCCCGGATAACTCGGGCGCCCAATATAGAGGTTGCGCGAGGAGGCGCCACGGCATCGGCGCCGTCGTCACGAGGGCGGTTGCCATGAAGGAAAAAAACGCAGACTTCCAGAGCATACTCCGGATTCCATGACAAAGTGGGGGGGGGTCACATTCGGGGGGGGGGTCTGATTTGAGCTGTCTTGGAGGGTTCGGGGGGTGTTCTGGGCAAAGGACCGCCCTTTGATGGATAGTCTGGGGGGTCTAAAACTTCTCGTCTGGGGGGGTTGTGACCCCCCCCCTTTTATTACCACATCTGGGGTATGCAGCAAGTAATGCGCAGGTGTTCCACCGTTCCCGGCCGCCGAGGGCCCATCGCCAGGCCCCAGGGCCGTGGCACGACCACCGGGGGCGAGACGCCGGCCCTGGGGACGTATAGTCCAGGGTTCCAGGGCCTTGTGGGCCCCGGAAACGGCAGGGCCCTTTTTTCACCGTTTCCAGAAACATGTCCCTTGAAAATGGAAGCGGCAAAAAAACGGCGACCAGAAACGGCAACAAAAACGGCTCCAGGATCGGAACCGGAGCCGGAACCGGTCAAACAACGGCGACGGAACCGGTAACAAAAACGGCGTCGGAACCGGCAAACAAACGGCAAACCGGAACCGGTAAAAAAACGGCCCTAAGTTCCAGGGAGCCCGGGAAGACAAGGCACCGGATGTCCGGGCTTGCGGTGACAAGGAGGAGTCGCCAGGAAGGAACGGCGCCCCGAGGCTTTCTCTCGATCTGTTCCCCCCAATGCTCCCTGGGTTAGGGGTCTCGTTTTGAGCAGAGCGGTGGGGTGCCAACTCCCTTCGCCTCCTCCTACTCCTCCTCCTCCTCCTCCTCCTCCTCCTCCTCCTCCCGCCCTCTGTATCGCTCTCGCCTGCCTGCCTGCACCTGCCTGCGCCTGCCTGCACCTGCCCGCGGAGGGACCGCACAGCGGGGCCCCCACGCAGGCCCAGATGGGACCTCGCCATCCCCGGGGGGCTTCGAAGTGCGAAACTGTCGCCGCTCTCGAGGGCTGCAGGGTGAGCTCGCACAGCGGGGCCCCAAGCAGACCGAAACGGGACCTCGGCTTCCCTGGGGGGCTGCGAGGTGTGAAATTGTCGCCACTTTCGAGGGCTGCTGGGGGAGCTCGCACAGTGGCGCTTCACGCAGACCGAAACAGGACCTCGGCATCCCTGGGGGGCTGCGAGGTGTGCAACTGTCCCCACTTTCGAGGGCTGCTGGGGGAGCTCGCACAGTGGGGCCCCACGCATATTCAAGCGGGACCTCGGCATCCCTGTGGGGCAGCGAAGTGTGAAACTGTAGCCATTGTCGAGGGTTGCTGCTGGGGGGGCCAGCACAGTTGGGCGCAGACCGAAACGCGACCTTGGCTTCCCTGGGGTGCTGCGAAGTGTGACGCCGTCGCCATTTTCGAGGGCGGATGGGGGGGCCAGCACAGTGGGGCCCCACGCAGATCCAGCTAGGACCTTGGCATCCCTGGGGCACCGTGAAGTGTGAAACTGTCGCCACTCTCGAGGGCTGCTGGGTGAGCTCGCACAGTGAGGCCCCACGACGCAGACCTAAACGGGACCTCGGCATCCGTGGGGGGGGGGGCTGCGAAGTGTGAATCTGTGGCCACTCTCGAGGGCTGCTGGGGGGGCAACACAGAGGGGCCCCACGCAGATCCAAGCGGGACCTCGCCATCCCTTGGGGGCTTGCGAAGTGTGAAATTGTGGCCACTCTCGAGGGCTGCTTGGCGGGGCAGCACAGTGGGGCCCCGCGAAGATCCAAACGGGACCTCGCCATCCCTGGGGGGCTTCGAAGTGCGAAACTGTGGCCACGTTTGACGGCTGCTGGGCGGGGCAGCACAGTGGGGCCCCACGCAGACCTAAACGGGACCTCGCCATCCCTTGGAGGTTGCGAAGTGTGAAACTGTGGCCACTCTCGAGGGCTGCTGGGCGGGGCAGCACAGTGGGGCCCCACGCAGATCCAAGCGGGACTTCGCCATCCCTTGGAGGTTGCGAAGTGTGAAACTGTGGCCACTCTCGAGGGCTGCTGGGGGGGGCAGCACAGATGGGCCCCACGCAGATCCAAACGGGACCTCGCCATCCCTTGGAGGTTGCGAAGTGTGAAACTGTGGCCACTCTCGAGGGCTGCTGGGGGGGGCAACACAGAGGGGCCCCGCGAAGATCCAAACGGGACCTCGCCATCCCTTGGGGGCTTGCGAAGTGTGAAATTGTGGCCACTCTTGAGGGCTGCTGGGCGGGGCAGCACAGTGGGGCCCCACGCAGATCCAAGCGGGACCTCGCCATCCCTTGGGGGCTTCGAAGTGCGAAACAGTGGCCACGTTTGACGGCTGCTGGGCGGGGCAGCACAGTGGGGCCCCACGCAGATCCGAACGGGACCTCGCCATCCCTGGGGGGCTTGTGAAGTGTGAAACTGTGGCCACGTTTGACGGCTGATGGGGGGGCCAGCACAGTGGGGTCCCACGCAGATCCAAACGGGACTTCGCCATCCGGAAGGGGGGGGAGGGGCAGCGCAGCGTGAGATTGTCGCCATGTTCGAGGGCTGCTGGGGGGGCCAGTGGACCTCGCCATCCCGTGGAGGGGGGCTGCGAAGTGTGAACCGTGGCCACTTTGAGGGCTGCTGGAGAGGGACAGCACAGTGTGGTTCCACGCTGACCTCGAGGACCTCGCTATCCCTGGGGGGGGGCTGCGGAGAGTGAAACCGTCGCGGCTTTGAGGGCTGCTGGGGTGCGCAACGCAGTGGGGTCCCACGCAGATCTGGAGGAGGAGGGGTGGGGGATGAGGAGAGGGAGGAGGAGGATGAGCAGGAGGCGGAGGAAAAGGCGGAGGCGGACGACCGGGAGGGAGGGGAGGAGGTGGGGGAGGGAAGGGGGAGGAGGAGGGAGGGAGGGGGGAGGGAGGGAGGGAGGGAGGGAGGGAGGAGGAGGGAGGGAGGGAGGGAGGGAGGGAGGGAGGGAGGGAGGGAGGGAGGAGGAGGAGGAGAGGAGGAGGGAGGAGGAGGAGGAGGAGGAGTAGGACGAGAGGAGGGAGGCGAGGGAGTTGAGGGAGAAGGACGATGAGCAAGAGGAGAGGGAGAAGGAGGATGTGGTGTTGAGCAGTTCGGCACGCAAAACGCCGCACTTCATTTTCTGGTTGCGTCTCCGCCTTTGTACCTTATCTTGCCCATGCTCCATCATCTCGCTGCTGCTGCGGAGGCGATTGTTCTTCCACCCCGATGTATTCCTTTTGCTTCTCCTTCCTGGTTCATTGCCTCCTGGCATTTTTGTACCTCTGCTCTGCGAATCGGCCACGCACATTGCGCACGACGTAGATATCCGCCGTGCGCCGTCTCTTGCAGTGTTGCTGTCGTGCTATCGTCGGCACGCCTCATATCATCCCTTGGTGCCGACGGGTTGGGTACGTCGCAGGGTAATTTCAGGACTCCCCAGGCCCCAGCGCCGTCAGCGAACGTCTCGGTATCAGGAGCGAAGTGGATTCAGGGGAAGTAGCAGAATCCAGGACCCGGTTTCTTCAGAACCCGTGCCCCGTGAGGAACATTTCGGACGCTTCGGTACTGTCCAGTCCGCACGTTCGCGTCCAGACATGATTGGACGACGCTCGCGCGGCAAAGTCGTGACCCACGTCGGACATATTCCGATGTAGATCCGATGTGGGTCCGACGTGAATCCGACATACTCCGACGTGGTCCTGGCGTCAATCCGACGTGGATCCGACGCACATTGGGTCTCAAGTTGCCGTGCGAGGCCTTCAGGGTTTTCCTTGTAACCTGCGTGCCCCGTAGAACGAGGTCGTTGAGAGCAATCAGCATACATCAGTGCAGGCACCAACTAGTCATATACATATTGCTTACCTCCTCTGAGGCAGCTCGCCGAGATCATCAGAACGTCGCACGACAGCAAGATGCATATGCTTTTCGGCGCCATCCCCGCGGCCACCATTGAGAAGGTCATCGACGCGATGTTCCTGAAGCCGGTCTCGGAAGAGAGAGAGGGGCGTGCAGAGGAGGGCGGCGGTGGAGTTGGCACATCGCCATGAAGGAGAGGGGCCCAGAGGCAAACGGGCTCCCCGGGCCCTCCCCGAGCCTCGGGACAGTCAGCAGAACCACTCGGGATTCGGGGGCGGCCAAGAGGGGGGTGATGATTAGGGGGGTGGATCTCATGGCGTGGGCCATGATATTTCCCCAGATGTCAGGGCGCCTCTTCTTATTTCACTGCGTCGCTGGCCCCCCCCGCTGGGCCGCGCACGTGCCGCCGGCCGTGACTTGCACGCCCCCCCCTCCTCTTGGACGCCCCTCTCCTGGCCGCCCCCGAGGGATGAAGCCATCTGGGGGTCTTTTTGGAAGTTGGTTTGGCTCTCTTGGGGACCTCTTCGGACCCTCTTGGGGCCTTGGACCCCCCATTTAGGGGGTTGCGGCAGCCTTCTTGGGGCCATCTCGGAGGCCATCGATCAACAAGAAATGGTGTTCTTGATTCGTCCCCCCACCCGTATGAGGCTCACAATGCGCTCTTGGGGTGCTCTTGGGGCGCCCTTGGGCGCCTTTGGGGTCGTATTGGAGCCCTCCTGGGGCCGTCTTGAAACATCTTGCGGCCTCGCCTACGCGAAGCGAAACTTCCAGAATGCACGATTTATTCATGTTTTGCTGGCTTTGGAAAGATTTTATCCTCTCGGGGGCGTCCTTGAGAGACCCCGTGGCCACTTGGAACCGTCTTGGGGTGGCCTTGGAGCCTTTAGGAGGCATGCTGGAGATCAGCTCGAGTCGTCTCCAGCTACCTTGAGCCATATTAAGGGGCCATCTTGGGCTATCTGGAGCTCTTTTGGAAGCATTCTGGGCCAACGAGGACCCTCCGACACCTCGCGACGCCCCCCTGGGGGACCCATGGGGAGCTGGCAGGGGGGCGGGTAAGCCCCTCCCCGAAAGGGAAGAAGGGATGGGAAGATCGAGGACAAGTACAGTGGGGGCGCGCATCAAGAAATCATGTGCTTTTGTCAGGGTATCCTAGGTTTCTTCGCGCTGCGCGGTGACTTCCCGCAGCCGTTGAAGAGGCTGCTGCGTTCAGGGCGCTCCCGGTTGCCCCTCAGGCGCACCTCGCGCGCGGGTTTTCAGGGTCGGGTTTCTTGCGAGGGTTTCTCGCGGCCGCGTCTGCACTGTAAGTGTATGTGCTCGGGCGCATGGGATAGTGGCGGGTCCCACTTTCATACCAAGCCGACGCGATCCTTCGCCAAACTCGGCAGCGCTGGCTTCATGTGTCGGGGGTTACCTTCCCCGATCCGTAGATCTCGCGCATTCGCCGATGTTAGCGTGCGTCTGAGGAGGACTAATTTGTCAGCACATCATCGAGGGTAGAAGAGACCCTAACCCCAATGACTTAGTGAGGACGTAGCCTCACTTTGGTCCCCGTGCCTGCATTCGGGAAGATATACCTGGGCGGTTTGGTGTGATAAAGCAGCAGAGAAAAAGACACCCGGTCCCTGATGTTTTTGGCGCTCTGGGCAGCGGCCCCCCTCCAGAGGGTCAGGGGTACCTTTGTTGCTAATCCACATCTCCTGTGATTTGCCTGTCTTCCACCACCACAACCATAAGTTGGAGGAGGAGGGAGCCCTCCTCCTCCTCCTCCTCCTCCTCCTCCTCCTCCTCTTCGTCCTCCTCTTCGTCCTCCTCCTCCTCCTCCTTCTCGTCCTCCTCCTCCTTCCTCCCCCTAACTTATGGTGGTGGTGATGGAAAACAAGCCCATCATCCTGTGCTTGTCGGTGCGCCTGTTCATCAGCACACCTGCAACACTGCTGGTCAACACTTGCTCGTCAGCACGCCTGCTGCGCAGCACTCCTTGATGCTGCGCCCGGAGGCCTGGTGGGACGTCTCCTTTCCCTGCCTTCGTCTCGGAGGCTGTGACGAATCCTTTGGGACCTTGAAGAACCCTGGGGACTCCCCATGGATTGACAGGGACCTCTAACGAGGCCTCTCGGAATCCCTGCCTCTTCGAGACTCTTACGAGGCCTGTTTGAAGCTCTTACGAGGGCCACAATTGTCGGGTTGACCCACAAGGGGTCCAGCGACAAGGAGGTGGTGCAATACATCTGGTGCAATCGATTTGGGGTTGCAACACATTTGGGGCGTGCAATGCATTCCGGGGCGCAAATATATTGCTATATTTTCTTGTGCAAGGCACTACTTGTAATGCAATGCAATACAATTCTCCAGCGTACATTCGCGATACAATTGCCCCAAATCTCTGGACCCCCTTTTGGAGACTTTTTAAAAAATCGGCGATAAACCCGGGTTATCCGGGGGGGGGGGAGGAGGGGGCCGGCCGATAACCCAACCTTCGCGCTGTGGGCAGCCCTGCTTATGCCCGCGCCCCCCCACCCCAGACCTGCACGACCGGCAAGGCTGATCATGTTATCCTGGGGGGGGAGGGGGGCAAGCCCGATGACCCAGGTTATCGCCGCCGGTAACCCAGGTGACCGCCGATGACCCAGGTTATCGCCGGTTATCGCCGGAGGGGGGCAAGCCGGATAGCCCAGAGACAACAGTCTCTGAGGTCACCCAAAAGTTGGCGGCCGCGCGCGCGCCCGTCCCCTGGGGCGCTCCTGGGCCCACCCGGTGCCGGGCCGCCTCGGAGGCCGGCCGTCGGCGCGGGCGCGGGCGCAGGCGCCGCCCTGGGGGCCGCCCCAGCGCCGCTGCAGAGCCGCTCGGTCCGCGCATGGAGCCGCCGCAGCAGTGCCTGCCTCCGCACTGCCCAAGACACGGCGCGATCCCCAACAGCGCACCGCGTGTCGGTTGACGCCTCCACGACCTGCGCCTTGGGAGCACTGCCAGCCCCACCGGCGGCACCGCACGCCAGGCCAGCCTCGCGCGTCGCCACGCGCCGCCGCAGCACCTCCAGCCGCTCCTGCCAGGACGGCGCTGGCGCCGCGCGAGCGCTGCGGCGCGCCGCGACCTCTGCAAGCAGGCGGCTGGCCTCCGTGCGCCCGCCTCTCGGCCGTGCAGGAGCCCCGCGTGTCGCGGCCCCCTGCCCGTCCGCCCGCGGGGCCTCCACCGTGCGCCCGCCTCGCAGCACTGCGGGAGCCCCGCGTGTCGCGGTCTCCTGCGCATCCGCCAGCTGGGCCTCCTCCGTGCGCCCGCCACACGGCGATGCGGGAGACACGCGTGTCGCGGTCCCCTGCGCGTCCGCCAGCGGGGCCTCCACAGAGCCCTGGGCCACGACCGCCTCGTCGGTGCCCTCCTCGGAGCTGACGTCGACCGAACTGCGCTCGTCGTGCACCGGCGTATCCGTAGCCCATGACCTGCACGTCTTGGGGTCCAGACCACGCAGCAACCTGTCCCTCCTGGCCGCCTGGTTGCTGACGTAGGTGCGCTGGTGGTGCCCCTTGTCGGTGGGCGGCCCGCGCCACGCCGTCTGCAGCCCCCTCGCCGCTCGGGTCTGCGCCCACGCGACGCAGACCTCGCAGAAGATGGTGGGCCCCGCGCGCCGCAGCCGATGCCCGAGGTGCAGCACCGCGCCGCAGCCGTCACCCTCGTGCAACCACGGGTTCGGCCTCTGCGCCAGCTTGCAGGGCCTGCCACCGTCGCGCGGCTGCAGCGCCTCGGCATCCAGGACCTCAGCGTCGCCCATCCAGTATGGCCCAGCACCGGCATGCGCCACCTCTGCCGCCGCCATAGGCGTGCCAGCGGGGTCGGCAAACAGCTCGACCTGATGAACTGCCGCGCCGCCGCGCCTGCCTCAGCACGGGAACGGCGCCCGCACTCGGTGCGCAGCATCCCGCGCTTGCCCTGCGCGCGCACCAGGGAGTGCTCCACCGCTGTCAGCTTCGGCACGGGCGGCGCTGGCGCCGCGGGCACGTAGCGCACCTCGGGGGCCAAGTCCCCGATGGCCAGGCAGCGCTGCGTTGCCCAACCGATGTAGTCCGCCACCTGCTGGAAGTGCTGCACATCGATGGCGTAGAACTCCGTGTACACTTGGGACACCGCGTGCTACAAGGCCCCCTGCTTGGCGAACCAGTCCGCCCACAGGTTGCCCGCGTACAGCACTGGGTGAAGCCCCGCCGCCAGGTGCGCGTCTACGTCCTGGTGCGCGGGGGCCCAGGACACCTAGGGGCGGCATGTCTGCTGCTGCAGGTGCCTCCACAACGTGGCGTGCACCGCCTTGGCTCGCTCCAGCTCTACCCCCCAGCTGCTAGCCTCCTGGGCCAGCGCCAGCAGGTCAGTGGCCACGAATCGCGCCTGCTGCCCCAAGAGCTTGGTGACATGCAGGAGCGCGTGTCGCTCGGCGCGACCCGCCCTCTGCAGGCGGCCAGGAAGGGCCCCGAAGGCCGCGCGAACGGGCATCCCGTTGGGGCCGAGCTGGACCAGCGACCAACCGCAGGGCCTCAGCTGGGGCATGCTGCTCGCAAAGCCCGGGCCATCGGTGAACGCAATGTTCCCGCGCTGCTCGTCGCTCGTGCCGCTCCAGTCACTCCGGAGCCTGACCTCCGCCTCGTCGGCCGCAGGCGGCACGCGCGGCGGCGGCGCGGGCAGCCCGACCTCATGCGCGAACCCGCTGAAGTCCGCGACCCCCACGCCGCTTGCCTGCAGGCCCTCATCACGCATAGTGGTCCATATCTGCTGCAGTCGGTCAGGGAGGACGTCCTGCTCTCCTGACAACCGATTCGCAACGAATCGTGCTGTGTCAAGCTCGCTGCCACAAGGGGGGCCAGCCTGGCGTGCGCGCAGCAGGGCCTCGCAGTCGTACAGCCTGTGACCTGGGGTGTCCGCCTCCGCTCCGCACGCCAGACAGCAGCCATCGGGGGCGACCCCGACGTCTAGCTGCCCCTGCCTGGTCCACGGCGTGCCTGCCCAGTGGATCCTGAGGCTGGCGGCAGCAGGCCCTCCGGCAACAGCGGCACCCTTGCCGCTCGCGCACAGCCTCGTGGCCCGCTTCCAGATCGGCCCCGTGGGCTGCGCGCCGCCGAAGTGGCTCAGGATCTGTCGCCCTTCCCAGCGGCTGACCCCCTCGACGATGTAAGCCTTGAGGTCCGACGGCGAGGTGGCGAGCATGTTGATGTGCTGCTCCTCGTCAGTGACCAGCACCAGGCTAGACCGCATGTGCCAGCCGATCCTCCAGAGCGTGAGCGTCGTCGAGGCGATCGGGCCGCGCCCCGGCCCCCGCGTCGGCTTCTCGACCGGCCGCTGCGTGATGGAGGCCCACGGTCGCTGAAGCCTGCCCAACGATGTCCTCTGCTCCCATACCCAGCTGGAGTACCTGACCACGAGCGCCACCGTCGCCTCGTAGACTGGATCGAACCTCGCGCTGCGCTGCGTGGCCAGGTAGATCGTCGCGCCCGACGGGCCTGGCCGCGCCCCCGCCAACCGGCTGGCCTCAGCCCGCAGCCTCTGCAGCTCGTCGTCGGAGTTGCCCACGACGCCCGCGCCGTGGCCGGCGCTAGGGGGCAGCCCCGTGCGCCGCAGCGCGGTGACCTTGCGGCCAGCAGCACGCTTCAGCGCCGCCAGGCGCCCGCGCCGAAGCGCCAGCGCCTTCGGCCGCAGCTTGGTCTGCCGTCGCTGGATCCTACCTCCTCCATGGTCATGCCCTAGATTGCGAGCCCAGGGTGGCAGCTGCAAGCCGCGGGATCCCGCGTGCTTCCTGCACTCTGCGGCTAGGCCCTTGGACGAGGTCACGTCGCCAGACTTGGCGGGCTGCGTGATGATGCCAAGCTGCTTGGCCTCCTCGCGGAAGCGCGTGACCGCGGCCCGTAAGACGCTGACGTTGATGCTCGCGGTCCTGACCCATTGAAGGGTGACGTCGTCCACGAGGGCCCTGGACGTGACGCCCATGCAGCGCGCCCGCCCCAGCGCGCGGTGCATCGGCACCGACGCGAGCACGCGCGCGTTCGCGCATCCAGCTAGCACCCCTTGGTAGGACACACTTCGTAGGACACCGAGCCGAACGCTTGCAGCCGCCAGGGCTGCCTGTACAGCTCCACCAAAAGCCAGACCAGCGGCAGCGGCATCTTGAGCAGCCGCGCCTCCTGGATCAGGGTCTCGGGGATCACCGACTCAAATAACTCCAGGCGTCCAGGAGCACGGTGACCACCTGCTCCTCCAACGCGACCGCTACCTCGGTCTCGAGTATCAGGTCGAACGCTGCATCAGACGACGATCTGCCCGCGCCGGGCCCCCAGATGTCGACGCTGGGGTGCTGCATGAGCCAGCCCTTGGAGATGTCCGCCCGCGCCGTCGACCACCAGCGCGCCAAAGAATGCACGGAGGAGGAGGAGGAGGAGGAGGAGGAGGAGGAGGAGGAGGAGGAGGAGGAGGAGGCACCCCTCACACGTGTCCTGGCCCCATCGGGAGCTCCACCGATGGCCCCAGTTCAACCGCCCGCATGCGTCACGCACACCCATGTCGGCACACCCCTCACACGTGTCGTGGCCCCATCGGGAGCTACACCGAAGGCCCCAGTGCAACCGCTTGCATGCGTCACGCACACCCATATCGGCACACCCCTCACACGCTTCGTTGCCCCATTTGGAGCTCCACCGAAGGCCCCATAGGGAGCTCGACCAGATCGCCAGTGGCTGCGTTCGCATGCGCCCACCGCGCCCATTTCGGCACACCCATCACACGCTTCGTGGCCCCATCGGGAGCTCCACCGGAGGCCCCAGCGAAACCGCTCGCATGCGTCACGCGCATACATTTCGGCACACCCCTCACACGTTTCGTTGTCCCCTAGGGAGCTGCACCGAAGGCACCAGTGCCAGCGCCCGCATGCGTCATGAATACCCATGTCGGCACACCCCTCACACGTTTCGTGGCTCCACAGGGAGCTCCACCGAAGGCCCCAGTGCCACCGCCCGCATGCGTCACGCACACCCATGTCGGCACACCCCTCACACGTTTCGTGGCCCCATTTGGAGCTCCGCCGAAGGCCCCATAGGGAGCTCGACCGGCGCGCCAGTGGCTGCGTTCGCATGCGCCCACCGCGCCCACCCATCACACGTTTCGCGGCACCATTGGGAGCTAACCGACGGCCCCAGTGGCTTCGTGCGCATGCGCCCACCGCACCTATTTCGGAATATCTCTCACGCGCTTCGTGGCACCATAGGGAATTCCACCGACGGCCCAGTGGCTGCTTTCACATGCGCCCACAGGACAACTTTTGGCACATCACTCACACGTTTCGTGGCCCTACAGGGAGCTCCTCCGAATGCGGTGCGTGCAGCGACGGTACTCAGAATTGCATATGGTTGGGTCCTTCGCCGGGCTAATTTGTGGACAGCCATGGGTTTCTTCCACGGCGTTGCTGGCGTTTGTTCTCTTGGCGTGGCCCGCGAGGTAAATCCTGGGGCCAGGGGTCCCTGGGTTTCTCTCCGTTCGGAGCCAGGAGCCGAGCGCCCAGGCCATGGACAAGACACTTCGCTGATTTTCCGGGCTGGGTTTCCTGCGACGGTGTCATGTGGCCGCGCCCACATTGCATGGAGGGAGGGAGGGGGATGAGAAGCAGGATCGTCAGGATGAGGAGTCGGAGGAAGAGGAGTTTGAGGAGGATGATCCCGAAAAGGATGACGATGAGGAGGACGAGGAGAGGTACCTCAGGATGGGAGGAGGCGATGGAATCACGAATCGGCAATTGAGTGGGTGTATGATAAAGATAAAGTGGTGATGTGGAGTAGAAGGATTCGGTGTGATCGAGGTCGCCCACGGGGAGCGCGTCATAGAGCAGGGGGACGAGGGCCAGTTCTTCTACATCGCGAAAAGCGGCTGGTTCGAGGTTGTCCACCCTTTCTCTTGTCGTGGCACTTACCCTTTGCTGCGTGACACGTCTTCCATCCTCCTTCCATCTCCCCCCCATCCGTCCTTTCTCCGTCCTTATCTTTGATTTGCTCACGCCGCACCGCCGACCTTTTGGGAGCCCTGGGTGCCTCTTTTTTTCTAGTGGGCGCTGTCGCAGAAGCGTGCTATCGCCAGGCGTCCATTTTGAAACTGCCTTCGCCCCCCGTCCCTCCCCCTCCTTTCCTTCCCTCCTGCCCCCCCTCCCTCTTCTCCCCCCTTCCTTCTCTCCTGCCCTCCCTCCCTCTCCCCCCTTCCTTCCCTCCTGCCCTCCTTCCCTCCCTCCCCTCCCTCCTTCGACTGACCATCCCCCGCCCTCCCTCCATCACCGAGTGTTCAGCGTCCCCAAGCCTTCCCCAGGATAAGCGTGTGCAGATCACGCTTGCTCGGAGAAGCTATCGAACCAGAAAGTACGAGGGTCTATTCCCGAATCAGAAGTCGCCCTGTTCAACCTGAGCAGTGGCTTTGGTGGTGGTCGGGTCATGCCACCTCGCTTCGCGAAGCGGGCCTCTCCTATCCTAGTCCGCCCGCCCTGCCTCCTCCCCGCTCCGCCCGGATGCGGTCGTACCCTTTACGTTTGTTCGTGTTCCACAAGCTTCTTGGCTGGCTTCACGAGTTGGCCACCTGTCCCTCGTAGCAGCAGTTCTCGCCGAGTTCAGAGGGTGGGATCCGTTGTATCACTATGTGATGGCGGAATCCCTGGAATCCCACCCTCCCTCCTGCCTTACCTCTTTCCGACCGCTCTTCCTCCTCCCCGCTCCGCCTGCATGCGGGCGTACCCTTCATGGTCGTGCGCTTTTCCCCGCTCCGCCCGCCTCACCGCATTCAGCCTGAGACTTGCTGGGCGAGTGTGAGGAGCTTCCCAGGGGCCGCTCCCGTGACCCGCTGGGGGGGCTTGCTCGGGAGCTCGCTGGCGGCTGCGGGGGTCCTCTCGGTGAAGCTCGTCTTGTCATCGCTAGGTCGCGTGCATTCCTTTTCGGCGGGGACCATCGGGGAGCATTCTGGGGCATCCTACGAAACAATACGCGCACAAAGCCGAACCATGCACGGGAACTGGGCGTCCGAGCGAGGCGAGTCGGAGCGGAGGAAGGTCGTGTTCGCGCATCGCTCGTATCCCCTGGGCATCGTGGTTTCCTTTCTCCTGGTCGTCTTGGGAAGTTTATCAGTTGGAGTCGATACGTGGATGATCTACACGCCAGGAGTCTTCCTTTATGCTGCCCCTGCATGTTTTGTCATCTTCAGTGCGTTTTCGAGGTGTCAGTTCGAGTTCCCCTCTTGGACCCCCTTGGGGGTTCTCTTGGGGCCTTCTTATGCGTATCGGGAGCCTCTGGGGCAGACTTGGGGCCTTCTTGGGCCGTCTTGGGGCCGTCTTGGGAGCCTTGCTGGCCGTTCTGGGGCGGTCTTGGGGGCCTCGGAGACCTTTGAGAAGGTTGCGAGGATCCAACAGGCAGATGTGCTCAACGAGTATGTTCCCCCCCACGGGCTGGGACGATGTTTCGTTTTGGGAGCGCTTTCGGCACGTCCTGGGACGCGTTGCGGACGGCTGGGGCGACGTGAAAGCCATCTTGGGCCATTTGGGAGCGGCTGGGGGCATGATGCAGGCCATTGGAGGCCGTCCATGATGGGCTTGTTTTCCACCACCACCACCACCACCAAAGGTAGGAGGGGGAGGGGGTCCTCCTCCTCCTCCTTCTCCTCTTCTTCCTCCTCATCCTCCACCTCCTTCCCCCCCAACTTACGGTGGTGGTGGTGGAAAACAGGCCCATCAGTCCAGGGGCATTGTTGGAGCAGCTGATGCCGCCGGCGCGTTTGCCCCCACGCACCCCATCGAAACAGGTCGGACCAGAGTCCCAGGAGAGTTGTTTGTGGAGGGGCCCCACGAGGACCCAAGTGGTATCCAAACTGGCCCCTAAGTAGGCCCCACATGGCCGCGCGATCGCCCCAAGATGTTTCAAGGAGGCTCCCAGGGCGTAACTGAATGCTGCTACGCATCCCTGGTGAGGGCACATCGCCTGGTGATGATTTTTGGATGGAGCTGGTAGGAGCGCGCGGAGCGTCTCCAATAAGCTAGATAACACGCCGAGAAAAACCTGAGGAATCGGGGATTTGCTTATTTAATGCGTTCGCCTTGCCTGCTCTTTTCTCGTTCTGCATGTTGTCCGCCTTCCTCCTGCATTCTTCCATTTCTCTCAGGTTTCATTCCTGGTGGTTTGTATTTGTTCCTGTCTCCTTCCTTACTCGTTTGTTACGTATTCCTTATGCGTTTGTTATTCCTCCGAATCGAAGACGCCTACGGCGAACCACCGCCGCCTCCTGCCTTTTGAACACGCCCATGCGGCCATACGTTGGGCCGAAGTCTGGCCAAGCTATGGGACTATGTCTTCCCCCAGGCCATCTTGGGCCAGCTTGGCCGTCTTGGAGGTATCTTGATGGCCGTCTTGGCCGATTTGGGGTCGTCTTGCGTTGAAGACCGATGAGATCTGTAAGTTTGGCGGCTTCCGGGTTGCCAGCGCGTCAGGCCCTAAATCCGATCAAACGTCGTCCATCGCGCCGTGTGCCCCTGTGGCAAGCCACAGGGGGCGGCGGGTCCAGTGGCCTGCGACACATTCCGCCGCCATGCCTGGGCTGCGGGTCAGAGGCCTCTTGGGGTCTTCTTGGATGCCTCTTGGGGGCCTCTCGGGGGCCTCATGGAGCCTCCGTGGGATCTTCTCGGGCCCCCCCTTTGCGGACACCTCGGGTGCCCCTTGCGGCCTCTTGGGTGCCTCCTGGAGCCTTAAGGGCCTCTTGGCGGTCTCGTGGTATCTTGGCACAAGAGATGTCGTGGGGCCAGCTCGGAATTCCCCCCTCGAGGGCCGAGAACGTTCAATGCCAATGGTTCAATTGTTGTGGATGGGGAAATTCCCGAGAGCGCCCACGAGCGCCGAGGAGTGCCCAGAACAGTGGGCCTGGATCCCTTGCAGACTCGTTGAAAGGGACTCCAGGGCAGTCCCCTCGGTGCCTACGGACGGCACCGGACGGCGGATGAAGATGACTTTGGAGGGAAGGGTGCGTCGCACGCGGCACCAGTGCTGCATACTGCCATTGCTCTGGTCCGTCCTGCCTCTCCTCCTGCTCTTCCTTCTCCTTCTCTCTTCCCGCGAGGTCTTTGTGAGCAAGCAGGGGAAAGAGCCGGTGAAGGCTCGCGGTCGCTGTCCTTCTGCACAAGAGGATGTGGATGAGGAGGATGGGGAGAGACGTGGTGGGCGGGATGTACACGGAGGTATGAGGGAGGAGGGAGGCATATGGTGGATGACGATGAGGATGATGACGGCGTTCAGTGAGTAAGAGAAGCATAATGTTGAGGGTGAGAATGAAGTTGAGTGTGAGAGTGACGATGATCGTGATGACAATGGTGACTACGCTACGACGCTGACTGCGATGACGGTGGCGATACTATCAAGGACGACGATGCCGCCGCCGACCGCGACGACGACGATGAGGACGAGGTTGATGATGAGGATGATGGTGAATGTGATGAAGATGATGTTGATGGCGATTGTGAGGGTGGTGGTGGCGACTATGATGTTCGGAGAAGGAGAACGAGGGATGATGAAGAGGAGGAGGAGGAGCCCTTCTTCATCCTCCCGCCTTCTCCCTTCTCTTTCCTTCTCATTCATCAGTCCTTTCTCATCCATCCTCCGTAGTTCATCCCCACCTTCAACTCTTCAGACATGTCTCATGCTTCTCCCTCCTGCCTCTTGCCTCCTCCATCTCCTTACTCGCTCGTCTGTCTTCCCCTCATCCTTCTCATTCGTCTCGTCCTCCTCCCCCTCCCCCTTCCTCCCTCTTCCTCCCTCTTCCTCCCTCGTCCTCCCTCTTCCTCCCATGCGATGACGACGTACGATGACCGCGTACGGCGACGACATACGACAGCGACGACGACGCATCGTCGACATTCGACGATGACGACGACGTCCAGCGACGACGATCACGGCGGCGACGACGATACACATAGATGCCGGTATGTAGGTAGAGGTAGGTCGGTAGGGTGGTGTATATGGGTTTGTGCAGCGCATTGGTGTACCTCTCTACATGTGTGCACGCATGCGCGCAGATTGGGCTATTTGTGTGCGTCCATGTGTACGTATCTGTCCAGCTGCCTGAGGCAAGTCCCGACACTGCTCCAGTCTAGCATGACGGGTGGCGATTGCTCGAGGGGACACGGGGAGGCCGTCACGTGTGACCTACCAGGCCTCTTGAAGCAAGGGCGCCCCCGAGGGCGCGAAGTTCTTCGCGCTTCGCGCTTCGCGGTTCGGCGCCGATTCCTCCTCGTCCTCCTCTTCTCCCCTGGGAGGCGCCCTCGAGGGCGCGAAATCATTCGCGCTTCGCGCCTCGCGCAGCGCGAAGCGCGAAGCTGGGAGCCCTTGTTGAAGGTCCTGTAGGCCTCTTGGGGCACCCCGGGGCCTCGTGGCACCGCCTCGGGGGCACCTAGGGGGGCTCGTGGGGGGGCCCCCTGGGCCGTCTCGGGGCGCTCTCGGGCCGTAGGGACGCTCTGGGGCCTATCCTGGCGGGCTCTCTGGGTCTCCTCCTCCTCCTCCTCCTCCTCCTCTTCTTCGGCCAGCTGAGGCACTGGCTTGGGCCGTCTCGGGGCCGGGGGGAGGTGAGGAGGGGAAGGCCTTCTCAGAAGGCGGCGGGACTCCTCAGAAGCCCTCGCGCCTTCTGAGAGGTTTCTGTGTCGTCGGGGAGGGCTCAGAAAACTGCTCAGAAGGCGGGGGGCTTCCGAGCCTTTTGAGAAGGCCTTTTCCTTATCAGTGCCCCTTCCTCGCTCGCCGCCAACTCTTGGAGGCTTCTTGGGCCGTCGTGAGCCGACGAAAGCTCGCAACGGCGAGACTGCGAACATCCTCCAGAATCCGAGCGACGTCAATAATGTTGGCCACTCCGGGCTTTGCTGGAGGCTCTGTTGGAGCCCTCTGTGGCCGTCTTGGAGGCCTCCTGGGCGGCCTGGAGGCCATCCGGGGCCGCCTCGACAGGCCATCTTCGGCCGTCTTGGAGCGCTCTGGGGCCACCTTGGCGGCCAGGGTGGCCTGCCCAGGTCGTCTCGGAAGCCATTTTGGGCACCTCGGGCGCCTTGGGGTGGCGCCAGGGGAGCGTCGGGCAGCCGAGGGAGCCGCGGGAGGAGGGGGCGCCGCGTGCGGCGCGGCGCGGCCCGAGAGGTCGGGGGCTCCCCTGGAAAGATTGCTCAAGCCCTGCCAGGCAGCGCTTGACATTCTTCCACGCCTTAGCGTGCCAGGAGGCACGGTGGCGAATACACACACACACGCATCTCTCTCTCTCTCTCTCTCTCTCTCTCTCCCTCTCTCTCTATATACGTGTATATACGCATGTGGCTACACACATATATATATATACATACATATATATACACATCAAGCATGCACACCTCATCTATGCGTACGTGTGTGCATGTGTCGGGTACACATGTATGCACAGGTTTATGTGTCTGTCCGTCGGTCTGTCTGCCTCTCTGTCTGCCTGCCTGCCTGTCTGTTTCATGTCCGTATGTATGTGTGCATGTGTGCATGTGTGCATGTGTGTGCATGCATGCATGTCTGCATGCATATATGCATGCATGTATGCATGCATGCATGCATGTATGTACCTTATAGATCACCCAAGATAACTTTTTTATCGATGTTAACTTTATAGAAAGTTGTCAACTTTCCGCGAAGTTGACAACTTTTTTAAAAGATGTTAACTTTTTGTTTTCGGCGACTTGGAAAGTTAACGTTGGCGCGACGAAAAGTTAACATCGACGACGCAAAAAGTTAACATTTTAGATAACTATTTTTGAATGTTTTTCGATATGATGTTGCACTTGTGTTGCAGTTTTGTTGCAGTTTTGTTGCAGTTTTAACAAAACTGCAACAAAACTGCAACTCAGTCGTTGCAGTTTTGTTGCAGTTTTGGTGCAGTTTTAACAAAACTGCAACAACACTGCAACAAAACTGCAACTCAGTCGTTGCAGTTGTGTTGCAGTTTTGTTGCAGTTTTGGTGCAGTTTTGTTGTAGTTGTGTTGCAGTTGTGTTGCAGTTTTGTTGCAGTTTTGGTGCAGTTTTGTTGTAGTTTTGTTGCAGTTTTGTTGCGGTGTTGTTGCAGTTTTGTTAAACCTGCAAACTGTGTTGCAGTGTTGTTGCCTTTTTGGTTTCGGTATGGTGTAGAGTGCTGCTGCTATAGCTATGATATGCTATGGTAACCTACAGGGTGGAATCTTTGCGGTGCGCGCAGGCAGTGTGATGCAGCGGGTAGGCGCGTCAGACGTGGTGCAAGCGAGCATTAGCTTGCCTCTATCGCTCTCTCCCTCTCCCTCTCCCTCTTTCCTCCCCTCTCCCTCCTGGCTCACCTCTTTCATGGACTACGTCATTCCTCTTAGCTCCTCTATTCATGCTCCTCTGCCTTGTGCCATCTCTCTCGTCGCCTGGGTGAGGACGGGGAAGGCGAGGAGAAGGACGAACAGGGTGAGAACGGGTGTTGCGGAGGCGTCGGGTAATGATGAGTGTTTTTGATTATGATTACGATGATGATGATGACCATGATGATGATGATGATGATGATGATGATGATGATGACGGTGCTAGCGATGATGATGCCGATGGTGAGACTGGTGATGATGATAACGACGACGACGACGATCATGATGACAATGACGATGTTTATGATGATGTTATGATGTGGTACGATGATAATGATGACGATTCAAACTGCTGCTGGTGGTAGTGATGATGACGGTGGTGATGATGAGTAGGCGGATTATGCTGATGATGCTGCGGATCACTATGTTGGTGAACATGGTTGTGATGGTTATGAGGATGATGATGATGATGATGATGATGATGATGATAATGCCGTTGCTGCTGGTGCTCGTGATGATGAAAGGGGGGCTGCTGATGCGGATGGTGGTGATGTTGCGGGGCAGGGCGGCGATGACAACGGTGAGGCATATGAGTGGGGAGATGATGATGAAGCGGGAGATGGTGTTGATGATGATGCTGGTGATGCTGATGATGATGAGGATGATGATGCTGATGATGATGACGATGCTGCTGATGATGGTGATGACGATTACGTTTATGCTGGCTGTGGTGGTGATGATGATGCTGATGGTGAAGTGTGGAAAAGAGACTTGGGAGTGGGACGACGATGTGGAGGAGGAGGTGGATGGGGGGGAGGAGGAGGAGGAGGAGGAAGCGGAGGAGGTGGGGGAGAGGGGCAAGAGGATGACGAGGATGATGAGTATGAGGAGGCCGTTACGGCTTAGCCCCGCAGGCACCCCCCCCCCAGGGTGGCGCGAGCATGCCCATGTGCACAGTTTTCGGCTTACCCCCTCCTCCTCCTCCTCCTCATCCTCATCATCCCTCCCTTCCTCCCTCCCTCATTCCTTTCCTCTCTCCCTCCCTCCCTCCCTCCCTCCCTTCTCCCCCTCATCATCGCTCCCTTCCCCCCCCCCTCCCGCCGAAAACTTGCACTGGGCACGCCCAGTTCCATCGCCCCCACCCCTTGTGCGATGGCGTCTGCGGCTGCACAGCGCCAGAGTCGGACGAGGCCCGACGACGCCATCACCGTGGCCTCGCTCTACACGGTGGTGCAGAGCTGGCTTAAAGCTCGGAGGGGGGGGGGGGGGGGAGGGGAAGAGAGTGAGGGGCGATGACAGGAAAGTGCAGCGACCCGTCTCCCTCCCACGTCCCTCCCTCTCCCCTCTCCCCCCTTCTCACCGCCATCGCACCTTCCTCCCTCGGCCACTCGTCCATTCCCCCTCCGCCCCCCCCAACGCCCGCGCGGGGAGGGGCTCGCGCGACCTCATGGGCATCATCACTCCGCTGCAGGAGCTGGCCGCCCACAGGTCGCAGGGGTAGGCAGTAGTGGTGGTAGTGGGTCGTAGTGGTTGTTGTAGTAGCCTTTGCAGTCGCAGTAGCATTCTTACCACTCACATCATCGTTGGTAGTAGCAGTCGTAATAGTTACATCATGTAGTCGAAAGCGTAGTCGTAGCTGTACTCTTAGTCGTAGTCGTCGTCGTAGCCAGAGCCGTATTGGAGCGGTAGAAGCAGCCGTCGTAATCGCAGCCGTTGTCGTAGTCGAAGTAGTAGGGATAGTAGAAATAGTACAAAAAGTAGTAACAGTGGTGATCCTAATGTCAGTATCAGTCTCACTCTCTACTCTTGCTCCTCCTGTAGACTCCAACTCCCGCTATCACTCTCACTCCCATCTTCCCCTCTAGCTTTAAGTCTCATCCTGGCCCTAGCTCTCATGACCCTCACCCCATAGGTCTACGCCGACTGCGTCGATCATCTCGCACTACGCTGATCTCTTCACGGGGCTCGTGAAGGCGCAGGGGCCGCGATGGGACGGGGCCAAATGAGGAGGAGGAGGAGGAGGAGGAAGAGGAGTTGGAGGAGGAGGGGGAGGGGAGGGGGATGATGAGAAGGAGGGGCAGGAGGAGGACGAGGACGCAGGAGGAGGAGCACATACACTTCGCCTTTCCACACACTGGAGAAGGACGTGGGGGAGGAGGATGAGGAGGGGGAGGAGGAGGGGGAGGAGTTGGCCCCGCCTCTCCCTCCTGCCGGAGCCAGAGTAGTAAGGGGAGCTGGGAGGAGGAAGGGTAGGAGGAGTGAAGGGTTTGGAAGGTGCCGCAGAATTACGTGCCTACACCACATGAGCATTAGATCGATCCTTAACCGTCCCACTCCTCCTCCATTCTCGTACCCACCAAGTTACCCCTCCTCCATTCTCCACTACCCATCAAGGTACCCCTCCAGTCTCCATTCATCAAGCTACCCCTCCTCCATTCTCCATTGTCCACTTATCAATGTATCCCTCAAGGTATCCCTCACAGTTTCAGGAAATGTAACCCTTCAGATCTGATTTCAGGTATCCCTCAAGGTATCCCTCAAGGTATCGCTCAAGATATCCCTCAAGGTATCCCTAAAGATGCCCCTAAAGGTATCCTGAAAGGTAGCTATTCTCCATTTCTCCCCTCAGTATTCTTCGTCACCCTCCTCTTCCTCATCCTCGGCCTGCGGGGAGGTTGCGCCCAATTGCTGCCTGCCGCCGAAGAAGTTTGCGACGTGCCTTGAGAAAATGCATGGCGACTCGGAAATTATATTGAGCGCTGGAGACGCTAAGGATGTTGCCCAGTCCTGCTCGAACGCAGGCTGGTACATCAGGATTGGAACGGGGGCAGGGGGGCGGGGCAGAGAGGGTGGAGGGAGGGAGGGATGGAGGGAGGGAGGGAGGAAAGAGGGATGATGATGATGATGATGATGATGATGATGATGATGATGATGATGATGATGATGATGGGAAGGGGGAAGGAGGGAGGACAGAGGGGCGCACGCGCATTTCCAATAGCGATGGGTGGTGGGAAGGAGGACAGATGGAACGTGAAGGGTGGGAGGGGCGTATGAGGAACGGGAGAGGTTCGATGGGGGAGGGGGTGCGCAGGCTGATGTGATTGCCTGCTGCGCACGTTGAGGGAATTCGCAAGCTATCAGATGGTTCAGGGGAGGGCCAGCTTGTCCAAGCTACGCGACCTGAAGAAGGACACCCAGGGCATGATGCGCATGATGAGCAGGGCGGGGCGCGGGTTTACGACGACGGCGGCGATGGCAGGGGATACTAGGAATGAAGAGGGTTGGGGCTAAGGGTGGAGGAATGGGGAGGCATAAGGGGATGGGGGGGGGGAGGATGGGGCGAGGAATGGGGGGTGACGGGGGGAGAGGGGTCGGCAGGAGCATTTCTACTGCGGTGTTTCATGCGTCCCGTATTGTGTTCCTCGCCATCCTCTTGCTCAACCTACTCCGTCCTTCAGCCCCCTCTCATCCTCATCGGCCCTTATCCTTTCGCCTTCACCTGGGCCCCCCCCTTCCCCCCAGCCACCCCCACCCCCCGCGGCGCATTCTGAGCGCTGCAGGGGAGGCCTGCCCAAGAGAGGCCGAGATCGTCAACGAGCTCTTCGACCTTGTGGACCACACCTCCTCCATGCCGAGTGCTCCGCCTCAGGCCCCATGTTCTCATTGTCATCATGTGCAGCAATTCCCGTCCACGCGCCATCTGCATTGGTACCGCCTCCTCCTCCACCTCATCCTCCTATAGATCCTCAGCTCCTCCTCGCCCCCTAGCTCCGCGGCATCTTCCGTTTCCCCTCTTCACCCAATCCATGCATTCGCCGAGGCCCGATTTGATGCGTGAAGGAGGTGCAGTGGGATAGACAAGATGTTTGGTGATCGGCGTTTGTATGTGTACGTACTAATTACTGGCACGCGGTTGGCCATGTCATCTTCACGTTGCATTTCGCATGTTATCTTCAAGTTGCCTTTGAGCCACGCACTCCCTTCCGCAGGCTGCTGCCCCAGGGAGTTGGAGAACTACCTTACAGGAAGCGGAGGGCGACGACGAGGATGGCGTCGGCGAGGAGGCTGCGCCTGAGGACCGACTGCACTGAATATGCCCCGCAGATTTTTCATGCTTCGTACGATCTTGGGTCGTGGTTCTTGGTGGGGTGCTTCCAGGGCCAAGTAGGCATACGTTAAACAATTGCTTTGATGCTTGGAACTGCCTCGGGCTATTTTTTGGGGGCGTGGCATCTCAGGCAAAAAAACCAAACCCACCCTGACAAAATCAATGTTTCACGGGATCTCGGGCCCTGGCTCTTAGTGAACTACCTTGGGGTTTGTACGGGCCTGGGTTAGGTTTATTGCTTAGATTGGGCGGGCTCCCTAGCTTGGGTGGGTCGGCAGTCCCCGATAGAGGACGGGGGGGCCGACGGTGCTGCGGCGGGCGCCGTCGTTCCCCATGTGCCCGCTGGCGACGAGGTCGCTTCGGTGGCAGGTGCCCGCGGGACACTTAAGGGGCGCGTGGGTTGTTGAGGAGGGAGGGCGGCCAGTGGGAGTGAGAGAGGGGCAACGGGGGGGAACGAAACCAGTAAGGAGGACGATGAACAAATCAACAACTACGCAGATAATGAGGAGACGGAAGGGGTGGGGGGAGCTGGAACGAGGAGCGAGATCAGCGAGGTTTATCTGCATTCCACCTCCTCCTCTTCCCTCCACGCTCATTCTCCCACCAATCATCCTTCTCCTCCTCTAGTCTTTCTCTCGACGACGACGGATGACGACGGCAGAGGCGGATCGCCATCATCGTCATGCGAATCATCATCAGCATCACCGACACCATCATCATCAGCATCGTCATCACCACCATTATCGCAATCATCATCGTGCCACTCGTGCCGCGTATCGTCATCGTCGTCGGCGTCGTCATCGTCATCATCATAGATGCCGTCCTCACCGTCATCATCGCCATCATCATCTTCTACCGTTCCCCTCCCAGCCCTCATCCCCCCACCGCCAGTATGTTGCTATCCCCTTGACTGCCATCCAGGTAGCATGTGTGTCGCCCACTCCCCAACTACTCCCTCTCCTCCCCCCCTCGCAACTTCCCCCATTATGTCACTATTGCTCCCTCGACGCCCCTCCGCCAGGCAACGACTTCATCAAGGATATTCTCAAGAAGCACAGGGCGGTGACCACCGCCGCGAGTGCCCTCACCGCGCAGTCGCCAGGCACCAGCGTTTTTTTTTCATGTGGCTGCATATTGTTTCTCAGTGTGCCGTTCTTATCTGCGGTGGGGCGCGTGTGATATGTACATGTATATACACATAAATATACAGAGGGAGGGAGGTTGAGCGATATATACATATAAATATATACACAAAAATATAGAGAGAGGGAGGTAATATATACATATTTATAAACATAAATACAGAGAGAGGTGGGATAACCATGACAAGGGATGGTTGATGAGCGTGAGTTGTCAGACTTCCCACAGGGGGGAGGGGTAGCGGGGGGTGGGGAGGTGGTTAAGACAGTCCGCGCGGGGCGGTGGCCACGCCCGCAGTGCCCGTGTGGATAAAGCACCGCGGCGGGGACGCCGATATGTCGAACCTCGCGCAGATCTGCAAGAGCGTCCCCGCGACCGACGCGAAGAATCTGTACAAGGGCACGGGCGGGGGGAGCGGCTCGCGCGGCAAGGGTGGGGGTGGCGCGCCCTCGAAGTTGACTGCGCCCACGAAGCCCATGAAAGCGGCCAAGAAGGGGTCACCGACGAGCGGCTCTAAGGATGCCAAGGGGGTGGTCAAGGAGGGGGGCTTGAGCATGACGCCCAAATGCATCCATTCCAGGGCATGTCACAAAGCAAAAAAGATGGCTTTGGATAAAGGTTGGTCGCGCGAGCGTGCACTGAAGGCCGCTCGCGCCGCTGGCCAGAAGGCCATTCGGGATCTCACGCCGTGAGTGTGCATGCGGGCAGCGATGCCAGCTGGAGGCAGTGAGGGCGCGACAAGGAGTGCAGCACGTGTTTGCACGTTGCGCGTTGTGTGAGGTTGCGCTCACTCGATGACGGGGGAGGGGGTGGGCATGGGAGGGCAGGGGGATCAAGGAGAAGGATGAGGATGGTAAGGAAGTGTCCGTTTTGCGCCTCCAGCTCCAGCGTAGGGGTCGTGATATCTGATGATATCGAATTGGGTGCCAGCTGTGGGCGTAGAGGCGCGATGGGCTGACAAGTGCCCTCGCAGCACGGCTGGATAAGCAGAGCGTAGATTGTGCCGCGCAGGCTAACATCGAGTGACTTTGCCTCAGGTCGGGGTTGTGCAAGTTGTCTAGAAAAAACTTATATGTTTCAGTGCAGTTGCTATCTCTGCAGATGCATTGCCAACTCAGGAGTGCCTTTGTGGGCTGTCGTTCATGTATTGCCCCTCAGACCTGCACCCCTTGGAGACACGTTGCCCCTTCAAAGTAATCCTCAATCACGGTACCCCGAAACGCAACCCCTTCCCCTTGAAGGTATCACAGGAGGCACACATTGGATGTACGAGACACCCTAAGGTACGACACGTTGCAGGAGGCACCCATTGAAGCTACCCAT